TTGTCGATAAGTTATTGGCCGAATGAGATGTATTTACAGAATGGTTACGGTAGAAGAAAGATACGCGTTATACATATATAAATATCCATTGTTATATTTGGCGTAATTTGTTGATGATATCATTACTTTTGTGGAGAAGATAGTTTTGTAGAGAAGATACTTTTGTAGAGAAGATTTTTGTAGAGACAATATTTTTGAAAAGATATTTTTGGATTGTCTAAACCGCGGGCAACGGGCGTCCGCGGGCGCCCAGCCGGCGGGCATGCCCCCACTTCAATCATCGCCCCACCACGTTTAAAACTATTTAGTTTAGTTGGTGCCATTTGATGATATCATTACTTTTGTAGAGAAGATAGTTCTGTAGTGATAACATGAACCCGGACAGATCATTATATCGCAAAAACCATGTCAACGATACGCATAGACTCGCGCTACCTTCTGATCAATAAATGTACACAGATCAGCATTACTACAGTAAACCTTATTACACAATGGTACACTAAATTATAAAAGAAATTTATAATGCATTCTTATTCGCCACCTCATATCTGCGAGACCAGTAAATTTACTATATTTCTCAGTTGAACACCTTAATAATCGCGAACATAGCTTAATCTAACAAGAAACAGGGATACGGAAAGATATGAAGAAAGGTCACTTCTGTATCACCACATATATACATATGTAAATCTCAAATGAATTTATTTTCACCAAACCAGACAACTTACAAGGCTGAAAATAAAGAAACATATATAAAATTACAGTAGATTATAGAATATTATAACAATTATCATGAATTATAAATATATACAAGTTCCACTCTTATAAGCTTAGCCGCTAACAGTAAGTGCATATTACAATCGAAATAAATTTCTTAAAATTAAACCGTTCGAGCTACAGTCGTGAAACTCAACAGCAATACGCAGATTTACAATGCGAACCTACAAAAATGAAGATTATAAGCGATATATACATAATTACAAACTTCATTCTTACACCTTAGTCGTAGAATGCTAATACAAAGCCAAATTTTCTTATAAAAGGGAAACTATAGAAGAGACATGAAATTTGGTACGGATATTTAAAATTACACTACATTATAGGAAATATAAAGATATACAATGAACAATGAACCATTCTAAGTTTCACTTTTGACAGTCATACTAAAATACATAAGATTCACTCTTTTCGATCGTATATCTACAGAACCATGCAAGATACAACATTTATACTAGGGATGTGCCGGATAGTGAAATTGCCGGATACCGGATATCGGATATCCGGTAATAACGTGAAACCGAATACCGGATATTCGACCGGATACCGGATATCCGACCGAATACCGGATATTCGGCCGGATATTCGTCACTAATTTTAAAAAAATTGTAACGACTCCCCGTTACAAATGTTTTTAGCGAACTTCGGACTAGCTCGTCGGGGCTGGGTTTCGTGTGGAAGCCAGGACACTAACACTTGAGTCGGTAGTTCGATGATTACGAATGGATTTATTGCGATTAATTACAATAGTGTGAGGTGACTATTTACAGGTGAAGTTTAGAACGTTGATGTATACAAATGTACGGAAATGGCGCTGATTTATTCTCGGTAACCGCGGCGGCGTGCGCGGTATCACGGAGGTAAAGGAGGGAACATATGGGCTGCGTTCGGGGAGACGCTATTTAGCGCTATGAGCGTGCTCTGTCCTTGTTACTTGCAAAAGTTGAACAAGGACAAAGCACTCTCATAGCGCTAAATAGCATCTCCCCGAACGCAGCCATGGTTGCGGGGGTGAAGCACTGGTGGGGAGGGGGATTTCGTCGTCAGCCATGTTTTTATGGGCCACTCGTGCTGCTATCTATCGGATAATGCCAGCATTATTTAGTACAGTATATTGAACTGTACATGGTGAATGGTAAATTATCTCCGTGATGGTAAGCAGTCCACAGAAAGTTCGTTGCAAGCATTGCAAGCACGTGTGCCATAATCTCGGATTTATTTATAAAGAATACAAAGAATTAAAAAATGGTGCATTGTGTAGCGAGTGGATGCAACAACAGATCATCAAGAAAATCGAAGAAACAAGAGGAACTAGAAAAGATTTAAAAAATATCATTTTTCACGTATGCACATAAAGACATATTATATAAATATACGTATAAAGGCTCTAAGTTATCAAATATTAAGTAACAAAACTGTATTTAGACAATGTAATACAATGCTACATTAATTATCCAAGAATTACTATGTTCACGCGTTTCACCTTCTTTGTACAATAACCTATAAACGCCTTCCTCATGGATTGTCATTGAAAAAATTGTCATTTTTTAAAGACACTCATAAATGTCCAGCAATAAGATATACTGTCTCCTATATATAAATTTTCTTAAAATTCCTAATAGCACAACAAGTCTCTGTTATGTCTCAGCTATGTGGTAGTTATGCTGCAAAGACATTGAAACGTCTTTGTAACATAACTGCAACATAACTGAGACTTATGTGCTATCAGGGATGTAATCTCCATGAAACTAATAGATGGTTAAATGTTTCTACTTATTATACAATCCATAAGTTCGGCTATTTATGTTTTACCATTAACAATAATGGTAAGTGATCACATTGAGTATGTCTTAGAAGTCAACTACGCTCAGTGAGATATTATATGTATTATATTGTAGTTTTCCCAAAAATGAAATAAGAAGAAAAGCGTGGTGCACAGCTTTAAATATAACAGAAAGTTCCTTAACACAAAATTCGGCATTATGTTCCTTGCATTTTCAAATAGAAAATTTCTATGGATCTGTTGAGACACGCATATGTTTAAAAGAAGATGCAATTCCTTTTGTAAGACTACTTTTAAAAATTATATCTGATACACAACAGACATTGATACTTCCGACTTTCGACACTAGGGGGACTACTAAACCCGAGAGGGGGCGCGGGGTACAGGGAGAATTCAGTACGGTGTGTCTCGCTAATGTGTACGGCTGAGAAATAAAGAGGATATATAAGTTGGTGGAACTCGTGTTATCTCTCCACAATCGCGATAACCCTCCGATCTACTACACTGGCGACGAGGATAACGCAAAGAACGCACGCAATACACATTTTCTAACTCTAAAAACGCGGAAATCAAAATCCAACAAAATGGACAATACGCAGTTCTCGGAAATGATGAAATTCATGCGCGAAGATGCTCAACGACGAGAGGAAGCACAACAAAACAAATTGAGCAATTGCGGGAGGAGGCTCTACGACGAGAGGCTGCTATTATCGAGCTGGTCAAGAGTCAATCGAGGGTCAACCTAACCTTGGAAGGCAACAACGGCAATGAGGCCATCGCTCAGTCTGTCACGATCCACCCTCCCGAAGAGTACATCGAACGTCAAATCACCGCTTTCACATACGATCCGGTTGTTGGACTCACTTTCGACAAGTGGTACGAATGCACTGCCACAGTTTTTGTATCAGACCGCGGCAAGCAAGTTCCGGAATCTGAAAAGTGCGCCATCATTCGCTCAAAACCAACCTCGTCGGATTACCAGACTTTCGCTGGAAATATTCTGCCTAAGAAGCCGGAAGAACTTACACTCATCGACACCGTTAAGCACCTTAAGCAACTTTTCGGTCGCAGAGAAACGATCTTCGCACGACGCTTCAAAGTCTTGCAGATTCAGAAGAAATCTGATGAATCCTTCGCTACGTACACAGCACGTGTCAATCAGGCAGCAGAGGAATTTGAGCTCTCTTCATTCGACAGCGACGACCTAAAGGTGCAACTCTTCACACAAGGCCTCGCGGCACCGACCGATTCACGCATCCGCAAGAAGCTCATGGAATTGGTGGACGATCGACTCACGAAGCGAACGGAGGAAGGCGATGCACCTACGACGAACAAGCTCAAGATCAACGACATGCTTGCTATTGCTCAACGCATGATGGTCCGAGATGAAGAAAGCAAGGTCATCGAGAACCAACCGAGCACCAAGCAAGAAGAAATCGCAGCTGTTGCAAGCAAGCCAAGGGGATCTATCCCGAAGTGTCGCATGTGCGGTGACACTCACTGGCATCGCGACTGTCCATTCATCTCGAAGACCTGCGGGTCGTGCTCAGCAACTGGACATAAGACGGGCTTCTGCAAATCAGTCAGAGACTTCAACGAACGAAACAAGAAAAGGGGTAAGGAACCGACAACAGTAGTGCACGTCAGTCCAGCACAAACCATCTCGTAAGACTCTCAAACCGAAGATCAACGGCATTGGCGTGGTTCTCAAACACGACACGGGCTCAGAATGGACGATCATCACCGAGAAGGACTGGAAACGATGCGGCAGTCCCAAGCTCCTCCCATCCAAGGAAACGGCTACCAGCGCCTCAGGAGGCGCCATCGAGTCACTGGGCTCATTTTCTGCAGTTATCGAACTCAAAGGACGCATCGGAATTGTTCCAGTCCACGTCACAAAACGCAACCTGAGCCTCTTCGGCAACAATGCACTTGAAGCCCTCGAACTTTGGGACCAACCCATCACGACTTATTGCGACAGCATCGAGACGAACCCACTGGCAGAGGAGGTAAGAAACAAGTTTCCTAAACTTTTCTCGTCTTCTCTGGGTAGATGTACCCTTCAGAAAGCATCCCTCAAACTAAAGGAGGGAGCTCGAGTACCATTCTGCCGCGCCCGACCAGTTGCCTTCGGAGTCCGCAGCACGCTCGACGAGGCCTACGACAAATTGGTCGACTGTGGAGTCTTAATATACTGTAGAACTGACGAACCACGGGGTCCTTATCCTTGCGGTATGCCAACGCACACACACACACACACACACACACACGCACACGCACACGCACACGCACACGCACACGCACACGCACACGCACACGCACACGCACACGCACACGCACACGCACACACACACACACACACACACACACACACACTCACACACTCGCTCTCATATACACACACACACACTCACACACACACACACTCACTCTCATATACACACACACCCAAACTAAAATAATCTTTTAATTTTAAATAAATAAATATTTAAACGAAACACACTGGAACACACATTCACACATACACACACACAAACACACACTCACTCTCTCTCACATACACACTTACACACACTCACTCTCTCTCACATACAC